AAGTAAGGTTCTTACTGATTGAACTTTGCTATTTATAAACTGATTTTTTACACGTTGATTGACACTTGCATTGTTGTCAAGTGTCAATTCAACTAGAAAACTATTTGGAATTTAAACTGTCCAACGAGGCAAATGTCTCGTGGCAAACTGTAAACTAAAGTGTACACCACAGTATACATGTTGCAAGGTTATTACCAATGAACTTGGCTATTTGTACGCTGATTTTTGACACGCTATTTGACCCTTGCATTGTTGTCAAGGGTCAATTGGATGGGAAAACTATTTGAAATTTAAACTGTCCAACAGGGATATATTACGTAGCAAAGTGTAAACTAAAGTGTACACCATAGGGTACATGAAGCAAGGTGCTTACCGATTGAACTTTGCTATTTGTACACTGACTTTTGACACGTTGGCTGACACTTGCATTGTCAAATGTAAATTGGATTGGAAAACTGCTTGAAATTTAAACTGTCCAACAGGGTAATGTCATGTGGTAAAGTGTACACCACATTGTACATCTAGCAAAGTTCTTACCAATTGAACTTTGCTATTTGCATACTAATTTTTGACACGTTATTTAACACTTGCATTGTTGTCAAATGTCAATTGGATTGGAAAACTGTTTGAAATTTAAACTATCCAATAGGGTAATGTCACGTGGCAAGATGGAAACTAAAGTGTACACCATGGTGTACATGTAGCAAGGTTCTTACCGATTTAACTTTGCTATTCGTACACTAACTTTTTATACGTTATTTGACACTTGCATTGTTTTCAAATTTCAATTGGATTGGAAAACTCTTTGAAATTTAAACTGTCCAACAGGGTAATGTCACGTGCCAAAGCGGAAACTAAAGTGTACACCATGGTGTACATGTAGCAAGGTTCTTATCGATTGAACTTTACTATTTGTACACTAATTTTTGACATGTTGTTTAGCACTTGCATTGTTGTCAAATGTCAATTGGATTGGAAAACTGTTTGAAATTTAAATTGTCCAACAGGGTAATGTCACGTGGCAAAGTGTAAATTAAAGTGTACATGTATGATAGTTCTTACCGATTGAACTTTGCTATTTGTCCACTAATTTTTGACACATTGTTTGACCCTTGCATTGTTGTCATGTGTCAATTGGATGGGAAATCTATTTGAAATTTAAACTGTCCAACAGGGATATGTCACGTGGCAAAGTGTAAACTATAATGTACACCATAGTGTACTTGAAGCAAAGTGCTTACGGATTGAACTTTGCTATTTATACACTGATTTTTGACATGTTGGTTGACACTTGCATTGTTGTCAAATGTCAATTGGATTGGAAAAATATTTGAAATTTAAACTGTCTAATAGGGTAATGTCACGTGGCAAAGTGTAAACTAAAGTTTACACCATAGTTTAGATGCAGCAAGTTTCTTATCGATTGAACTTTGCCATTTGTACACTGAGTTTTGACAGGCTGTTTGATACTTGCATTGCTGTCCAATGGCAATTGGACTGGAAAACTATTTGAAATTTAAAATGTCCATCGGGGTAGTGTCACATGGCAAAGTTAAACTAAAGTGTACAGCATAGTGTACATTTAGCAAGGTTCTTTCTAATTGAACATTGCAATATGTACACTGGTTTTGGACACGCTGTTTGACACTCGATTTGTTGACAAGCGTCAATTTGATGAGAAAACTATTTGAAATTTACACTGTCCACTAGGGTAATGTCCCCTGGGAAAGTGTGAACTAAACTTTACACCTTAGTGTACGTGTTGCATGGTACTTACCGATTGAACTTTGCTACTTGTACACTGATTTTTGACACAATGTTTGACACTTGCAATGTTTTCATGTGTCAAATGGATTGGAAAACTGTTTGAAATTTTAACTATCCAATAGGGATATGTCACGTGGTAAAGTGTAAACTAAAGTGTACACAATAGGGTACATGAAGAAAGGTGCTTACCGATTGAACTTTGCTATTTGAACACTGATTTTCGACATGTTGGTTGAAAGTTGCATTGTTGTCAAATATCAATTGGATTGAAAAACTATTTGAAATATAAACAGTCGGACAGGGGAATGTCACGTGGCAAAGTGTAAACTAAAGTGTACACCATAGAGTACATTTAGGAAAGTTCTTAACGATTGAACTTTGCTATTTGTACACTAATTTTTAACACGTCGTTTGGCACTTGCATTGTTGTCAAGTGTCAATTAGATGGAAAAAATATTTGGAATATAAATTGTCCAACGACACAATGTCACGTGGCAAACTGTAAACTAAAGTGTACACCACAGTGTACATGTTGCAAGGCTCTTACTGATTGAACTTGGCTATTTGTACACTGATTTTTGACATGTTGTTTGACCCTTGCATTGTTGTCAAGGGTCAATTGGATGGGAAAACTATTTGAAATTTAATCTGTGCAACAGGGATGTGTTACGTGGTAAAATGTAAACTAAAGTGTACGCCATAGGGCACATGATGCAAGGTACTTACTGATTGAACTTTGCTATTTGTACACTGACTTTTGACACGTTGGTTGACACTTGCATTGTTGTCAAATGTCAATTAGATTGGAAAATTGTTTAAAATTTAAACTGTCCAACTGGGTAATGTCACATGGCAAAGTGTAAACTAAGTTGTACACCATAGTGAACATGTAGCAAGGTTCTTACCAATTGAACTTTGCCATTCGTACACTAATTTTTGACCCGTTGTTTGACACTTGCATTGTTTTCAAATGTCAATTGGATTGGAAAACTATTTTAAATTTAAACTTTCCAACAGTGATATGTCACGTGGCAAAGTGTAAACTAAAGTGCACACAAAGCAAGGTATTTACCGATTGAACTTCGCCATTTGTACACTAATTTTTGCCACGTTGTTTGACACTTGCATTGTTGTCACGTGTCAATTGGATTAAAAAAATGTTTGAAAATTAAACTGTCCAACAGGTTAATGTCACGTGACAAACTGTAAACTAAAGCGTACACCATAGTTTACATGTTGCAAGGTTCTTACCGATTGAACTTTCCTATTTGTACTATGATTTTTGACACGTTGTTTGACCCTTGCATTGTTGTCAAGTGTCAATTGGATGGGAAAACTATTTGAAGTTTAAACTATCCAACAGGGATATGTCTTGTGGCAAAGTGTAAACTAAAGTGTACATCATAGGATACATATAGTAAGGTGCTTACCGATTGAACTTTGCTATTTGTACACTAATTTTTGAGACATTGGTTGCCACTTGCATTGTTGTCGAATGTCTGTTGGATTGGAAAACTGTTTTAAATTTACACTATCCAACAGGGGAATGTCACGTGGTAAAGTGTAAACTAAAGTGTACATGTAGCAAGGTTCTTATCGATTGAACTTTACTATTTGTACACTAATTTTTGACACATTGTTTGACATTTGTATTGTTATCAAGTGGCAATTGGATGGAAAAACTATTTGGAATTTAAAGTGTCCAACGGGGTATTGTCACGTGGTAAAGTGTAAACTAAAGTGGACACCATAGTGTACATGTTGCAACGTTCTTACCGATTGAACTTTGCTATTTGTACACTGATTTTTGAGACGTTGTTTGACACTTACATTGTTATCAAGTGTCAATTGGATGGAAAAACTATTTGGAATTTAAACTGTCCAACGGGGTATTGTCACGTGGCAAAATGTAAACTAAAGTGTACACCATAGTGTAGATGTAACAAGGCTCTTACCGATAGAACTTTGCTATTCGTACACTGATTATTGACACACTGTTTAACCCTTGCATTGTTGTCTAGTGTCAATTGGATGGGAAAGCTGTTTGAAATTTAAACTGTTCAACAGGGATATGTCACGTGGCCAAGTGTAAACAAAAGTGTACACCATAGTGTACATGTAGCAAGTTTCTTACCGATTGAACTTTACTATTTGTACACTGATTTTGACACGTTGTTTGACACTTGCATTGTTGTAAAGTCAATTGGATGGAAAAACTATTTTTGGCACAACATGCACTGGACTCACCCATGAACTATCAGAGATTGGATAGATAATACTTGCATCCAACAATTTCAACACTTCTTTTCGCACTACTTCTTTCAAGGTTGGATTTAATCTGTGTTGTGCTTCCACTAATGGCTTTGACCCATCATCCATTAAAATCTTGTACATACAAAGAGTTGGACTTATTCCTCTAATGTCAGCTATTGTCCATCCAATTGTCGTTTTGTGCTCATTTGCAATGATTACTGGAAGTGTTGTAGATTCTCCCAAATATGCATAACGGAGATGTGAAGGCAAGGGCTTTAGTTTAAGAGTGGGTGCCTTTTCTACTAAAGGTACTGGGGGTGAAGGATTGTCACCAAGAGATTCATACTGCCAATTGTCACCAAGAGATTCATACTGCCAATGTCTTCTTCCTATTGGTTGCTTAGCTAAGTTGACAATACATTCAGTTTTTTCTGTACTTGCTGCTCCAGATTGTGTAATTTCTGCTTCACAAAGAACTGTTTGATGCTCTGTCTCAAATGTATCTACCACCAACTTTTCAAGAACATCTACTTGGCAGCAAGTATCTGAAGTCAGTGGATGTTTCATCGCCTTAAACATGTTGAATATGACTTGCTCATTGTCCACCCGAAGAATCATCTTTCCATCATAAACATCAATCAGCACTCTTTCGGTAGCCAAGAAGGGTCTTCCCAAGATTAGAGGGATGTTTGAATCCTCATCCATGTCCAAAATGATGAAATCAGTCGAAAAAATAAATTTATCAACTTTGACTAGCACATCTTCAATAATCCCCTTCGGTCGTTTGATCGATCTGTCGGCCAATTGCAAAGAGATGGTTGTAGGTTTTGCTTCTCCTAATCCAAGAGACTTGTAAACAGAGAGGGGCATCAAATTAACACTGGTACCTAAATCACATAAAGAATGCTCAAAATAGTTAGAACCAATTGTGCAAGGTATCGTAAAACTCCCTGGGTCATTTAGTTTAGGAGGTAGCTTTTTCAATAGATTGCACTGCACTCCTTGTTTAGGCAGACAGTCTCATGTTCTTCCAGCTTCCTTTTGTTTGACCAAATCTCCTTCAAGAATTTTGCATAACTGGGCATTTGGGCTATTGCATCTGCGAACAGAATATTGATGTGCAGTTTCTTGAAAATCTCCACAAACTTTGCAAACTGCTTGTCCAACTTCTTTCTCTGTAACCTTTGAGAAAAGGGAATTGGTGGTACATAAGCTTTCACGGGGCTGGGTGCTCTCACTGTGGATGTTTCTTTCCTTTTATCCTCCTCGTTAGTTGGTTGTTCAGACTCTGCTTTTGTCCCAGCCTCTTCATCTATTATTTCTTTGTCTTTTCTATCTGGTCTCTTCACATGTATCTCTAGAAGTTGCACTCCACTTCTAGTTGTAATAACTTGCACTTACTCTTTTGGATTGACCATTGTGTTGCCTGGCAACGTCCCTTGTGGGCATTCTACAAGTTGTTAAGCTATCTGACCAATTTGAGTTTCCAGCTTCTTAATAGATGCTTACTGATTCTAAAAGTTAGTGTCAATCCATTGGAACACCTTGTTTGTCTTTTGCATGTACTGGTTGAACATCTCCCCCAAACTTGGTTTTTTCTCTGGTTGGTTATTGTTTGAACTGCTTCCTTGCTGATTATCCGACCATCTGAAGTTTGGGTGTTGTCTCCATCCTGGGTTAAATGTCTGTGAAAAGGGTTTAACATTTTGATAGCCATTTTGGATGAAGTTGATTTGTTCCTCTGGAAAGCCTAAAGATGTGCAATTTTTTGTTAGATGATTAGGTCCGCAGTTCTCACATGATGGACCGGCTATCACTGCATGTGCTCCTTTTGTTTGTGACTTCACCAATAACTCCACTTCGGTCAATGCTGCTATTTGGGCGTTGGTCGATGCTGAGCTATCTAATTCGTATATTCTCCCTGCTTTTGGAGGCACCACTCTTTCTGATGAAAACATGGAATGAGTAGTAGCAATCAACTCAAATAGATCCATAAATTGTTTAATTTCCCTATGATCGATCCGCCTGCAGAGGAATCCACTTGAGATTTGGATAATGGTGAAAGTCCCGTGTAGAAATACTACACTTGATTTCCAATAGTGATCCTATGATTTGGACACTTCCTCATCAACTCCTTAAATCTGTTCCACGCTTCATGATAGCTCTCCCCATCTCTCTGTTGAAAAGTTCGAATTTCCAATCTAATTTTTGCTACCTTAGCTGGTGGAACGAACTTATTGCAGAATTTCCTGGTCAGTTCCTCCCATGTGGTAATGCTTCTATCCGGTTCAGCATCTAGCCATTCCAATGCTGCATCTCTTAGTGTATATGGGAATAATCGCAGCTTGATGGCATCCTCATTAACCCCGGGAACATGCCAATTCTGGCAATTCTTGAGAAACCTTGAGATATACGTGTTTGGATTCTCATGAGGTAACCTGCAGAATTGCAGAGTCTTGCTCATCAAATTAATCCAGTTAGCTCGTATCTGGAAGTTGTTTATCCCAAATTCAGGATATACTATGCTGGACCGCGCAGGTGCTGCTATAGGCGTCAAAAACATAGAAACTGGCAAGTCCCCTTCATTTACTTCTCTTTGCTCTTGCTGTTGATTTCTCGCAGCCATTTGTCCAATTGGCTATATAGGGATAGGGTATTTGAAATTGTTAGCCATTTGATGCTGCTGTTTTTGTTTGTGTTCCCTACGTCTTCGTCTGAAGGTACGTTCTATTTCCGAGTCAAACGGTTCAAGATTGTCGCCTTGGGCACGGAGCATACAATGAACACTCTTTTCTTTTCCTTTTTTTTTATAAAAGAAAATAAATAAATATAATTAAAATTTAAAATTTAAAATAAAAAAATAAGCCTAAAAGTAATAGTCCCCGGCAACGGAGCCAAAAACTTGTTTTCGATTTTATCCCGCAAGTGGACGGATCGTAACAAGTAGTAAAGTGGACCTTTTGAATCCGGATTATCATTCCCACGAGGACTATATTTTAGTACTTAATTTATTATTCCTATCTTCTATTTAATGAAAATAAATAAATAAATAGAAATTGAATGTGATTTTTAAATCTAAATACTAGAAATTTCGTGAATGCAACAGAAAATTAGTTAGAATTCAATTAATAAATGGGAATTAGGGCAGAACAATTTCACCTATTGATCACCTTAGGCACTTGCATTGCTGTCAAGTGTCAACTGGATGGGAAAACTGTGTGAAATTTAAACTGTCTAACAGGGTAATGTCACGTGGCAAAGTGAAAACTAAAGTGTACACCATAGTGTACATGTAGAAAGGTTCTTATCGATTGAACTTTGCCATTTGTACATTGATTTTTGACACACTCTGACAGTTGCATTGTTGCCAAGTGTCAACTGGATGGGAAGACTATTTGAAATTTAAATTGTCCAATAGGGTAATTTCACATGGCAAAGTGTAAACTAAAATGTACACCATAGTGTACATGTAACAAGGTTCTTAACGATTGAACTTTATGATTCGTACACTGATTTTTGACATGTTGTTCGACACTTGGATTGTTGTCCAGTATCAATTCAATGGGAAAACTATTTGATATTTACACTGCCTAATTGGGCAGTGTCACGTGGCAAAGTGTAAACTAAAGTGTGTACACCATAGTGTACATGCAGGAAGGTTCTTACCGATTGAACTTTACTATTTGTACACTGATTTTTTACACGTTGTTTAACAATTGCATTGTTGTCAAGTGTCAATTCAATGGGAAAAACATTTGAAATTTAAGCTATCCAACAGGGTAATTTCACATGGCTAAGTGTAAATTAAAGTATACACCATAGTATACATGTAGCAAGGTCCTTACCGATTGAACTTTGCCATTTTACACTGATTTTTATCACGTTGTTTGACACTTTCATTGTTTTCAATTGTCAATTGGATGGAAAACTATTTGAAATTTATAGTGTCCAACAGGGCAATGTCACGTGGCAAAGTGTAAACTAAAGTGTACACCATAGTGTACATGTAGAAAGGTTCTTACAGATCGAACTTTGCTATTTGTACACTGATTTTTGAAATGTTGTTTGGCACTTGCATTGTTGTCCACTGTCAATTGAATGGGAAAACTATTTGAAATTTAAACTATTGAATAGGGTAATGTTACGTGGCAAAGTGTAAACTAAACTGTGTACACCATAGTGTATATGTAGCAAGGTTCTTACCTATTGAACCTTGTTATTTGTACACTGATTTTGACACGTTGTTGACACTTGCATTGTTGTCAAGTGTCAATTGGATGGGAAAATTTTATGAACTTTAAAGTGTCCAACAGGGTAATGTCACGTGGTAAAGTGTAAACCAGAGTGTACAACATAGTGTACATGTAGAATGGTTCTTACCGATTGAACTTTGCCATTTGTACAATGATTTTTGGCACGTTCTTTGACACATGCATCGTTGTCAAGTGTTAACAGGATGGGAAGACTGTTTGAAATTTTAACTGTCCAACTGGGTAAAGTCACGTGGGAAAGTATAAACTAAAGTGTACACCATAGTGTACATGTAGAAAGGTTCTTACCGATTGAACTCTGTCATTTGTACACTGATTTTTGACACACTCTTTAACACTTGCATTGTTGTCTCGTGTCAACTAGATGGGAAAACTGTCTCAAATTTAAACTGTCTAATAGGGTAATGTCACGTAGCAAAGTGTAAAGTAAAGTTTACACCATAGTGTACATGTAGCAAGGTTCTTACCGATTGAACTTTACGATTCGTACACTGATTTTTGACATGTTGTTTGACACTTGAATTATTGTCAAGTATCAATTCGATGGGAAAACTATTTGAAATTTAAGTTGTCCAACAGGGGCAATTTCACATGGTGATGTGTATATTAAAGTATACACCATAGTGTACATGTTATGAGGTCCTTACCGATTGAACTTTGCTATTTGTACACTGATTTTTGACACGTTGTTGACACTTGCATTGTTTTCAAGTTTAAATTGGATGGAAAAACTGTTTAAATTTAAACTGTCCAATAGGGTAATGTTATGTGGCAAAGTGTAAACCAAAGTGTACACCGTAGTGTACATGTAGTAAGGTTCTTACCGATTGAACTTTGCCATGCGTACTCATATTTTTGGCACGATCCTTCACACTTGTTTTGTTGTCAAGTGTTATCTGGATGGGAAAACTGTTTGAAATTTAGACTGTCCAACAGGGTAATGTCACGTTGCAAAGTGTAAACTAAGGTGTACACCAGAGTGTACATGTAGAAAGGTTCTTACCGATTGAACTTTGCCATTTGTACACTGATTTTTGATACACTCTTTGACACTTGCATTGTTATCTTGTTGCAATTGGATGGGAAATGTGACGCCCCGAACTTAAACTTCGAGGGCCACGTACTTTACATAATAACTTTTGCCTTTGGTACATGTAAATATTCTTAAATAGAAATATTTCATGTTAAAAACTTATTTTTTATAAAACTTTATGGCCGATAAAAGTGCAAATCATCAAGGAATTATGCTTCACATATACGGCCTCGGCACTGTCAAGATTAGTTGGGGCAGTAAGTTTGACAATTTTTATAAAATTCATCCCAACCCCGTTTTCTATGAAATTTGTGGCACTAGAAAGGTAATTTCAAGTAGTTTTCTAGGTTAAAATATGAAAATTTTCCAAGATCATATGATATAGACGTTTTACTGAAAACAGTGAAGTATTTCACAGGAAGTTCAGATTGACCTTTGGACGTTAAAACCTTGATAACTCAGGCCATAGATATCCAAATTGAGTATTTCTTGCGGCCATACTTAGAAAACTAAAAGGGGAAAACAGAAATACTTTTAGAATCTCAAATGGACGTTTATAGAGTTAGAAAAATCATTTTGAAATTGACTCCAGAAACTGTCCCGTTTCTGCCTTTTGTCTCTTGTAAGAAAAATTAACTACAAAAATGTCTCTTATCACAACATGAAAGATATAACTACAAAATTTACTATTAATACCAAAATACATCATGCCATGTTCATATTTTTACATAATACCATAAGTAAAATAGATGGAAAAACTGTCATCGAACAAAACACACAAAAGAAAACTTTCGGTACAAAACTTCGTTGTCCTTAATCCATCATCGCATAAGCCAACTAACTTCCATCAATTCAAATGATCATGGATCTGAAAAGTTTAGCATAACATACTTTGAGTATAAGGAAATACTCAGTAAGATACCATGCTTGAACATTTATCATGATAATACTACACCAAAGAAAGCAATCAAACCCATACTTCCATATTCCGACATGCCGGTGCCCTTCGGACTTGTCCTAATTTTTAGTTTTATTATTTATGGTGGCCGACTTTGACCCCCTTTTTTTTTTTTTTTTTTTTTATAACTTTACACTTGTTTAATCCATGATCCAAATGTATGGTGGTGATGGATAACAAGTGGGGTTAATCATAAGTAATTAGTAGCCTAAAGACCTATATTTGCAAAGGAAATCTCTAATTTTCCAACTAATATAATCCAACCCTGTATCTTTCATTATTAGCACATGTATCCCAAATCTAAACTTATATCCAACTTATATATCCAAAAATTGTAGATCGTAAATTAATTTAATCATTTGGTCAATTGAAGTCCTAACAAAATAATCGACCACATTCAATTTCAATCTTGACTTAAGTTTCGACTAACTAATAACCACTTCATGTATACGTAACATTTAACACCTCATGCTTGTAGTCATTAGCTATCTCTAACATTAACCACTATAAAGGTGGTGTCCCCTTTTCTTATGGCCAAAAATAGTACTGAAAGTTAAATCACCATCTAAAAGAAATTTAAATCAGCATAAAATTTCGAAGTATTACAGGAAAACTGTTTGAAATTTAAACTGTCTAATAGGGTAATGTCACGTGGCAAAGTGTAAACTAAAGTGTACACCATAGTGTACATATAGAACGGTTCTTACGGATCGAACTTTACTATTTATACGCTGATTTTTGACACGTTGTTTAGCACTTACATTGTTGTCCAGTGTCAATTGAATGGGAAAACTATTTGAAATTTAAACTATCCAATAGGGTAATGTCACGTGGCAAAGTGTAAACTAAAGTGTGTACACCATAGTGTACATGTAGCAAGGTTCTTACCGATCGAACTTTACTATTTGTACACTGATTTTTGACACGTTGTTTAACACTTCCATTGTTGTCAAGTGTCGATTGGATGGAAAAACTATTTGAAATTTAAGCTATCCAACTGGGTACTTTCATGTAGCAAAGTGTAAATTAAAGTGTACACCATAGTGTATATGTAGCAAGGACCTTACCGATTAAACTTTGCCATTTGTACATAGATTTTTGAGACGTTGTTCGACACTTGCATTGTTGTCAACTGACAACTGGATGGGAAAACTGTTTGAAATTTATACTGTCCAACAGGGTAATGTCGCGTGGTAAAGTGTAAACTATAGTGTACACCATAGTGTACATGCCGAAAGGTTCTTACGGATCGAACTTTGCTATTTGTACACTGATTTTTGAAATGTTGTTTGGCACTTGCATTGTTGTCCACTGTCAATTGAATGGGAAAACTATTTGAAATTTAAACTATTGAATAGGGTAAT